GGACTTAGCGAAGGATCGCTCAGGGTTGATCGCAGAGTAGTGTTGCAGCGGAAGTTTGAATCTCAGGTCAGAGTGAATGTAAATGACTGAGTTGATAAAAGCATGCATACATCGGGTTTATATAAGAGTACAGGGGAATACGAAAAGACCTAGACTAGCCATGTACTCTAAGGGGTACATTCCCTTATTCTAAATTCAAACCGTGCGGCGCGGGAACCCGTTTCAAACCTGTTCCCGCTCTTTTCACTTCAAATGTTTCTGCCTGCATCGGTCTTGGTCAAACGGTTGCTGCGTCGCTTCGACTCTTCTGACTCCTCGACTTCGTACTCGGTAGAGTCGGCTCCTGCAGCATACAGGAATGCCTACTCATGCAATTTCATATCGTAACAGTTATTATGCCAGAAGCATTGATCCACTTTCACCTGATGTGAAGGAGACAGACTGAAGCGAGATAATTTGAACGGTAGATAAATAATTTGTGTGATTTGACACGATTATGGCAGTGAGATGGATCTCATGTGAAACATTACCGTATGTTTATATATTGTCAACCATATAGTTAACATTATGCGTGCATAGGGTACGTACGTACGTATGTGTATATAATAATGAGTGGAGCTGACCTGATCTTTACTGCGTTGGTTCATCTCGTCCGTTGGATCAAGATGATGTCGAGGGCGTATTGTGGATGACAAATCAGAGATTCCATCCTGCTGAACAATTTCCCCACATTGCGCCTGTTGCGAATATGTTTGTACGTTTTATTATGAAGTACACTGTTCGAAGTGTGCTAACGAGCCTCGCCATAGCGAGGGTATTGACTGGACTATCGAGCTACAAGGGCGCAACCGCGTACAGTGGTTGCGACCCTCTTGGCAGCTGAAGAGTCGCGATCTACAGTTGGAAGCGTGCACTGCACACGTAACTGACCTGCGGGGCGCGGCAGGATACTGCGCCCTGGCCGAAGCTGAAAGGTCTCGCCAGCGCGACTGTAACAAGGCAACCCAAGCAGGCCCTCAGAAGTCAGGAAAAAAACGCTGATTTGCCCTTGAAAAACTTTTTTTTCAGGGTTTTTTTGGGGCCTAAGGCTGACTGGAAAGTGTTTTTTTCCATGTAAGGACTGATTTTTCAGGCAAGTTATTTGTACCAACACTGAAATTTCAGGCAAGTTTCATGTACCAACACTGATTCGAACCGAGTCCTGTTGCTAAAAAATGCGCGAATTCTTTGGAATTTGCCGAAAAATTCTCCAGTGGCTACATTGAAACCCGCCAGCACACGGTATTAAACCCGGAACCGGCCCCTTCGGAGGTCCACATTCTATTGACTGGGCCATTTCAGCCTACATAGAGGTTATTAATCTTAATCTACACCTACAGAAAGTTTTTTTTGTACCTTAACACTGATTTTTCAGGGTTTTTTTTGGACCCAACCCTGACAGAAAGTTTTTTTCCAGGGACCAACACTGACGAATCAGCGTGCCCCAAAACCAATCTGAGGGCCTGAACCCAAGCGACGCAGCGCAACTGTTATACAGTTGCGCCTCGATAACCGTTTGCCCTATGCGTTTGCTATATAACAGAATGTAATGCCTTGCTATTATTACACAATTCTCATCCTTGTGTCCGGCCTACCCTCGGCCGCCGCTCTGGCACCACGTTACAAGCCACGAGAGCTACCTCTGAGTGAACATTGCCCCGCCGCAGGGACGTCGTTAATTCCTAGAGTATTTCCGCTACTCTAGCGACCTCTTAATTTCAACATGGTATCAGAGCAAGTGTTCAAACCCTTGGAACCTGTGGGAGCATATTTACTCAGTTTGGCTCACCACCTTCTTCATCACCAGGAGCATCTCCTGGAGCAGGTTCGACCTGCCACTTTCCACGGAGCATTTCGTGGAGTAAATCTTCAACGTGCCGACGCAACATTTCGAGCGACTCGGCGAAACGCCTCCCAAGGCGTTCTAGCAAATTCCCCGGCAAGGACTTCACAGTTTCAACCTGGCAGAACTTCATCTCTCCTCGTTTCTACACTTCTAACAGTGGAGGGGAGTGTTGCGAATATGTTTGTACGTTTTATTATGAAGTACACTGTTCGAAGTGTGCTAACGAGCCTCGCCATAGCGAGGGTGTTGACTGGACTATCGAGCTACAGGGGCGCAACCGCGTACAGTGGTTGCGACCCTCGTGGCAGCTGAAGAATCGCGATCTACAGTGGGAAGCGTGCACTGCACGCGTAACTGACATGCGGGGCGCGTCAGGATACCGCGCCCTTGCCGAAGCTGAAAGGTCTCGCCAGCGCGACTGTAACAAGGCAACCCAAGCGACGCAGCGCAACTGTTATACAGTTGCGCCTCGGTAACCGTTTGCCCTATGCGTTTGCTATATAACAGAATGTAATGCCTTGCTATTATTACACAATTCTCATCCTTGTGTCCGGCCTACCCTCGGCCGCCGCTCTGGCACCACGTTACAAGCCACGAGAGCTACCTCTGAGTGACCATTGCCCCGCCGCAGGGACGTCGTTAATTCCTAGAGTATTTCCGCTACTCTAGCGACCTCTTAATTTCAACAGCGCCGCCCGCAGCCAGCCCGTTCGAGCAGCAGCCCCGCTTTCTGAGACTGCGCTCCGAGAAACCCCCGAGTCCGCGTACACTCAGTTGTGTGTCAGGCATTTTAGGGGAAAGCATTCACAAGCGCGCGGATAGCCAAACGGAACCGTTAAAGCTCAAGGCCCAAATTGCGGGCCGCGCGAGGCAAGTTTAGTAAGGTTGATCGAGTGCTGCTTTGCAGCTTTAGCTGGGCGAATTGTGGTTACGAAATGTACGAAGCCATCTGATTGGCCAGAACATTTGAGTCAGCGAATGGAACAGGTGGTGCGGGAAACTGGCAAGAGTAATATTTGTGCAATATGGGACTCGCGCAACCAAACCTGAGCGTCCCCTAGGCTTTGCTGAGTCAGCGAATTTTGTTTTGAGTGTGGCGAGAAGCTGGGCGAAACCAAACCCCTACACCCCTCAAACACCTCGACTTTCCTACTCTGCTTTCCCACCACCCAAGGGTCAACTTTAGTAATCCTGAACAATTTGGGCTTTGAGCTTTAAGGTTCGACGTTTGTGACGAAACTCACGAGTCTCGCAACAGTCTGTCCTCCTAGCACTTGACTGCTAGGTACGCAGAAGTGAAACAACCATTGCTTCGCCAGTGTCATTTCGCTTATCGGAACCGCTTTTTGTCACTTGGCCATTTGTTGGAAATCATGCGCGCTCGCGGAAATTCGCGGGCGAATCTTGTGGGCGGTGCTTCCTCCTCCGCCGCTTGGTTCACCTCGGGATTGGTTGGGATAACTCTGGGCTGTGCTGAACCATTCCTAAATGCCCAGCAGAAACTGGGAGAAGGCAGACACACAACAATTTTGAACCACTTTGCAACCATCTCAACCGCGCTCAACATGCCATCTAATGTGCCAATTCCATTCGAGGAAATCCTGGTCTCGGCCAACCCAACAGCCACACCCCCCCCTCATTCTTTCTGCTCCATCTCCTCATTTCTCCTGAACGGGCGAACTTCTCTGTTCTCGACTAGAGAGCCTCTCACACGTTTTCGTTACGTTTGCTTCATGCTCGCGACTGTCCTGGATGCTAGTTTCGTTCTTGCTGATGACGATTTCTATCTTCCTTGCGGCGATTAGTTCTCGCGTCGACCGGCCTTCTCTAGTGGTCGCTCGCTGGCTGCGTTTTCCGGCGGGAATTCGACTTCCCCGTGCTGTCGAGACGGCGATGAGGCAATAATGTCCGAATAGTTCGTTCGACAAGGTTAGTCTTCCAATGCGATATTCCGAATAAATTTTGTTCGCCGCGAGTTTTTATCGTCGATCAGATTTCACGTTTCGTTGTCGCACATCTCAGATGATACTTTCCCGATTTGCATTTGTTCTTCCCGACTCACGCTCGCCATATCCTCTTGTCGCGGCGACGCAATTCCTCGTTCATGCGAACGCCGTTCCTTGCATCGTCCGTCCTCCGGCTACTGGTCACGCTCATCATAACGATATCCGCAAATGATTCGGTACGACTCACGATGATTGAGATGTTTTTACGAGTGCCTTTCCTGATGCTCCTCTTAGTCTCCACAATCGCATTTCTCGTCCCTACGACTCGTCGTTATTGCTGCGTCGTTACGGCCGTTATCCCTAACCGTCTCTTCCCGTTATTGCTGGGTTGTCTGCGTTCAGATGCGACTGACGACGCTGTCGAAGTCGTCCGCGCGTCGTCGCATGGCGAGATCGTTGTCCGCGCGTCGTCGCACGCCGAAACCGTCGTCCGCGCGTCGTCGCATGGCGAAATCGTCGTCCGAGCGCCGTCGTGCGGCGGAATCGTTGTGTGCACATCGTCGCATGGCGAAATTGTCGTCCACGCGTCGTCGCATGGCGAAATCGTCGTCCACGCGACGTAGCATGGCGAAATCGTTGACAGCGCGTTGTCGTTTATCGAAATCGTCGCCCGCGATTCGTGGCATGGCGAAATGGTTGCACGGTTGTGCCTCCGTTGGCGTGGGGGTGAGCATCAGCAGCATCAGCTCTCGCTGCTTCTTCAATCGCCAGCTAAGTTCCTTCCCCTCCCTCCACTCTCCCTCGCTTGCTGCTCACCATTGTTGCTCACCGTTTCTCCCTGAAATTCTCGCAACTGGTTGGGGCCCGCCTCACAAGCAACAGACCCCCATCTCCCACTGCAGGTAAATCCATCAGGTTCAGGTTCAGCCCTCCTAAAGCCTTACAGCCCACTCAGGTTCCCCTGGGGGTCTGTGGCTTGTGGATGTGCTCCTCCAGTGGCCCCTCCCTTGCCTTGCTTGTTGTTTCTGCCGTCTCGCACGCTGCACTCTCCATTCCTCATCTCACTCTCGCTCCCACTTCTCCCGCTACCTTCACCTCGTTCCTCACGACCCTCTCCTCTCCTCCCTCACCTCCCCGCGCTCCCATCATTTCCCTGCCAGGCGAGCCCAATGCAAGGGGAGGGCAACAGGCGAGCAGCAGGCGAGGGGAGCACCAGGGCGGGCAGCAGGAGCGCAGGCAGCGGTTCAGCAGCGCCGGCCTCATCAACGGTTGAGGTTGCAGTATCGTCCCTGCCACCACACTCCACTCGAGCGCACTCCCCCTCAGGTTCAAGTTCAGGTTCAGGTTCAGGTGCAGGTTCAGGTTGGTAGCGGCTCTTGTGGGGTTGTGGTTGGCGTCACATGCACTGTCGTTTCTGCTGTTGCACGTGTGTTTGACACTTTTCTCCATTGCAACCCCTCTTACTTTCGGCTGCCTTTCCTTTCCGCCCTGCCCTCCCTCCCCTCCCTTCCCTGCCAGGCAAGCCCAAGGCAAGGGGAGGGCAGCAGGCGAGCAGCAGGCGAGGGGAGCACCAGGGCGGGCAGCAGGAGAGTGGGCAGCGGTTCAGCAGCGCCGGCCTCATCAACGGTTGAGGTTGCAGTATCGCCCCTGCCACCACACTCCACTTGAGCCCACTCCCCCTCAGGTTCAGGTTCAGGTGCAGGTTCAGGTTGGTAGCGGCTCTTGTGGGGTTGTGGTTGGCGTCACATGCACTGTCGTTTCTGCTGTTGCACGTGTGTTTCACACTTTTCTCCATTGCAACCCCTCTTACTTTTGGCTGCCTTTCCTTTCTGCCCTGCCCTCCCTCCCCTCCCTTCCCTGCCAGGCCTTCACAAGCCAGGGGGAGGGCAGAAGGCGAGCAGCAGGCGAGGGGAGCACCAGGGTGGGCAGCAGGAGCGGGGGCAGCGGGGCAGCAGCGCCGGCCTCATCAATGGTCGAGGTTGCAGTATCGCCCCTGCCACCACACTCCACTCGAGCCCACTCCCCCTCAGGTTCAGGTTCAGGTGCAGGTTCAGGTTCAGGTTCAGGTGCAGGTTCAGGTTGGTAGCGGCTCTTGTGGGGTTGTGGTTGGCGCCACATGCACTGTCGTTTCTGCTGTTTGCACGTGTGTTTGACACTTTTCTCCATTGCAACCCCACTTACTTTCGGCTGCCTTTCCTTTCCGCCCTGTCCTCCCTCCCTTCCCTTCCCTGCCAGGCCTTCACAAGCCAAGGGGAGGGCAGCAGGCGAGCGGAGCACCAGGGCGGGTAGCAGGAGCGCGGGCCCCTCCCCTGTGGCCGTGCAGGGAGGAGGCACCTGGAGGAGGGCTGCTGCGGAGGGAGGCAGCTGGTGGTGCTGCAGCTGCCTTGAGCTCGCCCTCACGCTATCAGGTAAGTCACCCACTTCCATGCCCTCACCCTTGCCCGCCACATCATGGCTTGTTGCTTTGTTGTTGCCATTTCGTTTGCCGGTTGTGCTTTCGCCCTTCCCTTTGAAACAATGCCACTGGTTGAGCACGATATACACGCCTCAGACCCCCTCACTTCAGGTAACCCTCTCAGGTGCATGTAACCCCTTCAGGTGTAGGTACACCCCTCAGGTTTTTTCTCAGGTGCCCTTGGGTCTGCAGCTTGTGGCCGTGCCTCAACCAATGGCTCCTCCTCCCTTCCCTTGTGCTGGACTTCGAGTCACAGTCTCCCATTCAACTTGCTCCCACCATTGTCCTCTAACTAGCTCTGTGTGTGCGCATTGCAGGTGGCGGGGAGGGGTGTGGGGTCAACACCGACGCTCCCTCACGCCCCTCCCCTGTGGCCGTGCAGGCACTCGTGGGGACGGGAGGGAGGCAGCACTGCCTACTGCGGCAACAGAGAGTATCGAGATGGGCTTGGCCTCTCAAGGTAAGCCTCTTACCTCTCTTTCTCGCTGCATTCGTTTTCTGCTAAGTTGCCCTCTCGCGCTCATCCCTTTGATTCGCCCTTGCCTGTTTGAAGGCATGCACTCACTCCCCTCCTTGCCTTCCCTTCCGTTCTGCCCCCTTTCCAGCCGAGACAGCTGACGGGACCAGTGGATGCAGCATCAGCAGTGGGGAGCACTGGTGCAGCAGGGGAGGGGAGAGGGGGAGACGTGGACATAAGGCGGCATCTCTTGGCTCTTCTTCAGCTGCCAGCTAAGTGTTTTCTCCTCCCTGGACTCACTCCTGCTTGCTGCTCACTGCTCATGTTGCTCGCTCACTCGTTTTCGCATGAGCTTCTGTGTTTTATCCCTAAATGATCGCCACTGGTTGGGACCTGGTTCACAAGCCACAGACCTTGCCCTACTCTTGGTAAGCCCCTCAGGTTAAGTCCTCCCTAGGCTTCACAGCCCCATCAGGTTTATCCCCTCAGGTTCCCTTGCAGGTTTATCCCCTCATGTTCCCTTGAAGGTCTGTGGCCTGTGGTTCCTTCCACCTTCACCAGTGGTCCCTCCCCTCGCTTATGCTGCCTTCACTCCTATTTGCCAATTCACCTTCATCCTGTGATTGCACACTGACAGACTGTGTGCTTGTTCGTTGCAGGTGGAGGGGAGGGGCGCTGGGGTCAACACCGACGCTTCCCCACGCCCCTCCCCTGTGGCTGTGCAGGAGAGAGGGAGGGAGGAAGCGCTGGGAGGGGACGGGAGGGAGGGAGGCAGCTCTGCAGCATGACAATCCCGTTGCTTCATGGGAGAGTATTGGCTTGAGGCTTGGCCCTTTCAAGGTAAGCCTCTTTCCAGCTCGTTCCTGCCACAATCACTTGTTGGTGTGAGTCTCTGGTGCTGCTTACTCATCTGCTTCGCCCTTGCTTGCCCCACGTCCTGCACTCACTCTCAACGCAGCAGAGGCAGCTCAGTGGCACATTGACGGCACCAGTTGCGGCGGCAACAGCAGCAGCAGCAGCAGCAGCAGCAGCAGCAGCAGCAGCAGCAGCAGCAGCGGTGGTGGCGGCAGCAGTAGCAGCAGGGGAGGGGAGGGAAGGAGTCAACATCTTCAGCTCCCAGCTAAGTGCCTTCTCTTCCCTCGAATCTTCCTTGCTTGCTGCTCTTTCCTCACGTTGCGCCTCTGCGTTTTCTCCCGAAACAACTCGCCACTGGTTGGGGCCCGGTTTGCAATCCACAGACCCTCCCCCTTAGCTCCTAAGCCCCTCAGGTTAAGCCCGCCCTAGGCCTTACACCCCCCTCAGGTTACCCCCTACTGTCAGGTTTATCTTTCAGGTTCCCTTGATGGTCTGTGGCTTGTGATTCTTCCCTCCACCAGTGGCCCCTTCCCTCCACTTCCCTGCGTTTGAAGTCCCAGCTGCCATGTCAGCCTTGTGTTTTGATTGCACACTCACTATCTCTGTGTGTGTGCCTTGCACGTGGAGGGAGGGGCCTGTGGGTCAACACCGACATTACCCCACGCCCCTCCCCTGTGGCCGTGCAGGTACCCACGGGGATGGGAGGGAGGCAGCACTGCAGCAGCTTGCAGTTGGTACCACGAGGGAGAGTATTGGGATGGGCTGGCCTCTCAAGGTGCGTTACCTCCTCCCTCCTTGGAGTGCATTTGTTGCTGCTGTTCTCTCTGCATTTTGCCCTTGTTGTCTTCATCAGCTCATGCGTTTTTCCGTTGACTTGATTCTTTCTGTTCACGTCACATCACCAACCTCCTTCCCTTTCTCCCCTGTCCCCCTCCCCCTTTTCTGCCTGCCACCAGGTCACGTGGCATCAAGCCAAGAGTGCAGCAGAGGAAGCAGAGTAGCAGACCGGCAGCAGCAGTCGCAGCAGCAGAAGCAGCAGCGCAGCAGCAGTGGCGGGTGGGGGGCAGGACAGGGGATTAGGCTAGGCATGGTGTGAGCGAGGTGTGGTAAAAGGTTTGGTATGGAACTAGGTGAGGTATGATGGTCTGATTTCCTCCTCCCTCTTTCTCCCTCCCTTTCTCCTCTGCAGGCTGAAGGTGGGAGCACTGGAGCAAGGGCGGGAGAGTGGAGTCCACCCTCTCACTCACCTCCTCCTCTCTCCCTTCTCCCTTCCCTCCCAGCAGCACCCTGCCTGGACCACAGTGGAGTCTCTTCCTCCACTAATCCCCCCTTCTCTCTCCACTTCTCAGGAGCCTCAGCATCATGGCGCTCTGCACGGCTGTGGTAGGTACAGGTAAGCAGGCATGGGAGTGAAGTATGGGGGGAGTGGGTGGGGAGCATGGGAGCAAGCGGGAAGTTCACTGCCTTACGGGCAGCATCTCCTGGAGTTGTGCCTTGTGGGTGGGGTGTGGTGGGTGGAATCTGCGCGGCACGGCACTCGGTGCTCAAGTAACCGTTCTGACGTGCAAGGCCTAATGGACACCGTCAGAGCCGACCGGCCGGCGGCTCTAGTTCGCGTCAGCTCTGGCTACGTCAGGGGTGGGATTTGAGTCTTGGGCTGGAAGAAATTTTCCACTACCACACCTCGCCCCACAAGGCACCGCCTATGGGGGTGTTGTTTCCTAAAGGAAGTGGGCTTTCTGCTGCTCCTACTGCTGGCAGGTGAGTGTGGGGATGGGCTGGGTGGATGGGTGAGAGAAGGGGCTGAATCCCCTTGGGTGGGTGAGCGAGATAGAAGGGGACTGAACCCTCTTGGCTGGGTGAGTGAGAGGGAAGGGGACTGAACCCCCTTGGCTGGGTGAGTGAGAGGGAAGGGGGACTGAACCCCCTTGGCTGGGTGAGTGAGAGGGAAGGGGACTGAACCCCCTTGGCTGGGTGAGTGAGGGGGAAGGGGGACTGAACCCCCTTGGCTGGGTGAGTGAGAGGGAAGGGGACTGAACCCCCTTGGCTGGGTGAGTGAGAGGGAAGGGGACTGAACCCCTTGACTGGGTGAGTGAGAGGGAAGGGGGACTGAACCCCCTTGGCTGGGTGAGTGAGAGGGAAGGAGGACTGAACCCCCTTGGCTGGGTGAGTGAGAGGGAAGGGGACTGAACCCCCTTGGCTGGGTGAGTGAGAGGGAAGGGGGACTGAACCCCCTTGGCTGGGTGAGTGAGACAGAAGGGGACTGAACCCCCTTGGCTGGGTGAGTGAGAGGGAAGGGGACTGAATCCCCTTGGCTGGGTGAGTGAGAGGGAAGGGGACGAAAACCCCTTGGGTGGTGAGAGGGGCCTGAAACCCCTTGGGTGGGTGAGTGGGGCTTGAAACCCCTTGGGTGGGTGAGTGGGGCCTGAATCCCCCAGGGTAAGTGGAGTGAGAGGGCGAGGAGAAAAGGGGGCTGACACGAAACGTCAGGGTGAGTTGAGTGAGGGGCAATGGTGGGGGCCTGGATACCCCAGGGTAAGTGGAGTTAGAGGGCGAGGACAAAAGGGGGCTGAAACGAAACCCCAGTGTAAGTTGTTTGAGGGGCAATGATGGGGGCCTGAATCCTTTAAGGAGTGGGCTTTCTGCTGCTCCTACTGCTGGCAGGTGAAGGTGGGGATGGGCTGGGTCGGTGAGTGTGTGGGAATGGGGCTGAAACCCCTTGGGGGATGAAACCCCGTGGTTGGGCGAGTGAGAGGGAGGGGGACTGAAACCCCTTGGGTGGCGAGTGAGAGGGAAGTGGCCTGAAAGCCCATGGGTGGGCGAGTAAGAGGGAAGGGGCTGAAACTTATTTGGGTGGGCGATTGAGAGGGAAGGGGGCTGAAATCCCTTCGGTGGGTGACTGAGAGGGAATAGGTCTGAAACCCTTTCCATGTGAATGATAGGGTAGGGTGGTGAAACCCCTTGTGTGGGTCGAGGAGAGAATGGGGCTGAGATTCCTTGGGTGAGTTGAGTAGAATGTGAGCCTGTGCAGGGAGTGTGTGTGAGTATGAGTGTATGTGAGACTGTGTGTAAGTGGGTGGGTGTGGGTGTATTATTTAGTATTGTGTGTATGTGAGTGAGTGTGTGTGTGTGTGTGTATGAATGTGTATGCGTGTGCATATATGTGTGTTGGTGTGAATGAGGGTGACTAATTGACTGATTGAGGACGTGAGTGTAAGTGAATGCGAGTTAGTATGAATGAGTGACAGTGAGCGAGTGTGACTGATTGCGAGTGGAAATGTGTGAGTGATTTAGGAAGAGTGAGTGTGGGTGAGTGACTGAGTGTGAGTGCGAGTGAGTACAAGTGAGTGAATGTGAGTATGATGCAGAGTGAGTTTGTGTGTATGCGAGTGTTGGTGACTCTACGTGTGTCGAGGTGTGTCTGAATGTGTATCTGGCAGGTGAAAATGACATTGAGATGCTCCAGATGGTTGGTGTGGGTGTGGTGATGGCAAATGCTGGCCCTTCGGTCAAGGCAGAGGCTAACCATGTGTCGAGCACGAACGACCATGATGGCTTCACGTCGCGGCTGCTGTGAAAATTCTTGCTCTCACTGCTGAACTCTGGTGCTGGGACCAGGGTGTGAGGACGAGCAAAACTTGTCTGGGTGGAGTATTTAATCTGTGCACTGGATTCAGAATGACCCTAATTGTTTGTAGGTCAGTACCAGTACTTGACTAGCACTAATATGTTGCGCCTGCTCAGGGGTTCTGAGAATCCTATGTACACACAAATTGGGTGGCTCCCCTCCCCGTCATGATTTTGCACCATGCCAGCTGCCTGCTGCAACTCTGTAAATAGCTGACTGACTCAATAGATTGTCCGTCTAGGGATTGTTTGTGTATCTTTTAGAGCTACTTATCATTAAGTTTTGATGTACAGTTGACTTTATTCTCCCAGGCTGGGCGAAACGCGAACTGTGGATTCGGGTGCTTCTGCGATAATTCGTAGAAATACGCACGGATGCTTCGCAAAGAACTGCACTGTACGGGAGGCAACTTGGCAAGGCAGGGAGCGCTCGCCCGCCCATTCAAACAAAATCGTGCATGCACTCGCTCACGATTTCCAGCCAAATTTCGTTCTACACCAATCACAGTCCCGGAATCCATGCTGGAAGTAGGAAAGCATTACCACAAGGGCTCCACGCGCTCGACAAGGCGCACCGTCACCTGGTCTATAAATTTACAAGATACAAAGCGATGCGGATTAGGGGATACTGACGAATCCTGCCCTGATTTCGTGCTACCCCGTGTTTGATCTCCAGAAGAGATGGCTAAGTGAAGGATTCGGGTGAATCATACTCAAGTAGTCTGTATATACTGTGTTCGAAAAGACATAGACTTAAGTCTACATAGTCCGGAGGAAGGCCTAAGGTCCTTTACTTTAGGGAAATCACAAAAGTAAACTGAACCGTTCACGAGCCGCCTCCATGCGCGACGCGTCCCCTTCCGCAACCTGCCCTGGCGGGTTTGTTCGCGGCACGTGGGCTCCACGCCACTACCACCAGTTTCGTAAAGCGCCTCTCTCCACTCCGCTGAGCGGAGTCCGCTCGCCGTGCTGCTGATGGCTTTCCAGCCAGCCATCCGCCAGTCCCAGTTCGCCCGAAAGCTTTCCTGATAAGCGACGGTGCAAAATGGGAGTGCGGGGCGGGAGGATCGACGCACCTCCACGCATCCAGATTCCCAACATGGCAACTGGTGTAGGAAATGGATTGTCGCACACAGAGAAGGGGGGAAAGAATCCCTGTTGGAGTGGCTGACACCCACAACAAAGCACTTAGCGGACTGTACAGTAACGCAACTACCAAGTGCTGCCCAGCCCAAGAAAACCCCACAAAACCCGGTTTCGGTTGTGCGGGCTGAGGTGCGATGTTGGGAACAGTGAGCGGAATGCACCCACCCTTCGTCCTAAATTGCTGTCCGCTAGTGCTGCAGCTCTTCTGTTCCTCGACTCGTCTCTGCGTCACATCTCGGTCTCAGCTTTCTGCGCAAGCTTGAGGTGTCATCTGGTAGGCTGAACCCCATTTCTGATTTTTGATTCACCTTGACTGCCTCCGCAACCACACGCCACCGCACGATGCTCCGCGCATTCTCAGCAGCACAGCAGCGAGAATGGGCGCGCGGGACAGGAGGCGTGGAAAGGCCGCCATTTGACATGCTGAGCCTCCAAAACCGGCCACTACGGGTCGTACTACGCACACGCAGCGAGCTAGCGTTAGTAGACCGCACAAGACTCTCCCATACTTGGCGTTAGTAGACGCACCTCCACTTCTCCGCTTTCCAACCGATAACTCCCACCAAGTGTCATTCCGCGACACATTCTTCGTTTCTCTCGAATCCCGTACACTCGCCACGGTTGATCGCAGCACATTAACGAATCCAGCCGTGCCGCGTTACACTCCCGATCTCGATATCGGACCGTCACGGTGCCTCGCCGGCCCTGCCATGTTGCTGACCCTATCAGCGTCGTCCATTCCATCGGATTCGCTAGCTTCGCTCTCCACGCCGCGACGCCCCTACTCGCTGCCGTTTCGCGCCCTTTCGCGCGCCGCAGCCCCCGGCAAGGAGGGGCCTTTCGCGGCGTTCGTCCCCCGCACATGCGCCATGACCGCCGCTGCGCCCATCGCGGACGATCTACGCGCGCTGGACGGTGGCGCCCACCTGCCCCCGCAGGACTCCGCGGGGAAGAGCTCCGCGGACTTGGCGGAGCGCAGGGATGATGGCGCGCAACAATCACGCGGGGAATGCTCGCACGCGGAGAAGCGGAAGCTGAGCGCCAGCGGCGACGCCGAATGCCGCATTGGCGGCGATGCGGCTGCGGCGCTGCCCGAGGGAACGGAGAGCAAAGCCGACTCGACGAGATCCGCGGAACCCGCCGCGAAGAGACCCCGCGCGAGCGCCGATCACGACGAAAAGCCGCCACTGGCGCAGCTTGCGGAGTCGAACAGCCACGGCCGCATCTCGCCGCGAAATGCTCCCGCCTCACCGCCCGCCGCCGCGCCTCTCCCTGCGTCTGCAGTGCACCAACCCTCTGATCTTCCGCCCCGCCTCCCCTGGGCGGCGCCGCCCGTTGACTCGACGGTCAACGCCACCGGCCATCCCGCTGCTGACGCCGCTGCCAAGTCGGGGGAGAGCGGAGGCGCGGGTTTGGAGGAAGGGGACGAGGCGGAGGGGGAAGAGGTCGAGGGGGAGGGCGAGGAGGCGGTTGGCGGAGTGACCGCCGCGGATGGCGGCGCGTGCGGGAAGAAGAAGCGGTACCGTTATAAGCGGCTGTCTAAAGCGGGTTACATTCCGGACGACGGGCAGCACTGGCACAAGTACGGGCAGAAGAACCTCGTCGACGCGGGATACTGCAGGTGAGCACGCAATGTGATGTGCTCCACCATAACCATTTTGCACCGTGCTGCACCGTGCACACCCTTTCCCCGCCGCCTCTCACGTGTCTCACCCTCTCTTCCCGCCTCCCCTTACCATCCCTTCCTCTCCTCCCGTTCCGCCGCGTCCGCAGGGCGTACTATCGGTGCGCGCGCAGGAGCGCGGGGTGCGCGGCGAAGAAGACGATCGACTTCCCCATCCGGTGGGGCTGGACATGCGCGTCACGTACAGCGGCCAGCACACGCACGGCCTGCCTCTCACCCTCTGCTTCCCTCCTCCCCCCTTTCCTCCCCCCTCTCCCCGCAGGGCGTACTATCGCTGTGCGCGCAGGAGCGCGGGGTGTGCGGCAAAGAAGACGATCGACTTCCCCATCCGGTGGGGGCTGGACATGCGCGTCACGTACAGCGGCCAGCACACGCACGGCCTGCCGCCCAGGCTGCAGCGCGAGGTCTTCACATACGCCACCACGCCCGCCCAGCTGCCGCCCAACATCTCCGTGCCGCCCAACGTGCTCGCTGCTGCGGCAGCCAATGCTGCTTCAGCCGGCGCTGCTACAGCCGGCGCTGCGAGCTCCTCTGCTGCGTCTGCGGAATCCCATCCCGCCAGTGCCGGCCCGTCCCCCATCTCACCCCCGCTCACTGCTTCCCCCGCCCCACCCGCTCCTGCTCCTGCTGCTGCTGTTGCTTCTGCTCCTGCTGCCGCTACTCACCCTGCTGCCTCTGCCCCTCCTGCTCTCAACTCACCTGTTATGAGCGGCGCTGGTAACCATGTAACTGGTAACACGGCGAATGCGTGCAGCCCTGCTCACCACGGGCAGTCACAGCCCACCCAGACGCCCCCTCGCTTCCTCTCTCCACAGCAACCACAGCAACCACAGCAGCCGCAGCAGCAGCAGCAGCAGCAGCAGCAGCAGTATCAGCAGCAGCAGCAAGCAGCGCAGCAGCAAGCAACACAGGGGTACCGCTTCAGCCCCACAATGCAACAACCGATGCCACCCAGTCCGGGCCTGGCCTCCCCTGGTCCCTCCGCGTCCTCCCTCTTATCCTCCTCCCCCTCCCTCTTGACTATGCCGCCCGCCCACCACCCCTCTCCCGGCGGAGCCCCCGCCGCGCCTGGCGCCCCCATTGAGCAGCGGCAGCAGCAGCAGCAGCAGCAGCGTTGGCTGCCACAGCAACAAAAATGGGAGCAGCAGCAGCACCAACAGCCGCAACAAACGCAATGGCAGCATCAGGAGCAGAACCAGCAGCAGCAACAGCAGCAACAGCATCAACAGCACACCGCCTCACCTGCACAGCCCTCCCCATTGCACCCTCCAGGAAACTTCATGCTGCCGCCACCCGCCTTTGCACCCAGCAGCCGTGGAAGCAACGCGGAGCCTTCCAAGCCTGTCGCTGCATCTACCTTCCGCCCCTTGACCACCACCTCCTCCTTCCACCGCTACCCTCCTGCTCCTGCCGCTTCCGCTCCTGCCGCTGCTGCCATCCCGTCTGCTGCTCCTTCCGCTGCTGCTGCTTCACCTGCTGCGCCCATGAATACCCACCCATGCCGCCCACCCATGCCACCCCCGCACGCCGTCAACCCGCCCCAGTACATGCACATGCCGCCCCAAAACACGCCAATGCCGCCCCAAAACACGCCAATGCCGCCCCAAAACACGCCAATGCCGCCCCAAAACACGCCAATGCCGTCTCAGGCGTCACCCGTCCCTCCCAGCTGCACCTGCCCTGTCCACCACCCCCAGCACCAGCAGCACCAACACCAGCACTACCCCCACCACCAACACCAGCACTACCCCCACCACCCACACCAGCCCCAGCAGCAGCAGCAGCAGCCCCACCCCAGTCCTCCCCCCTCCGCCTTTGCCCCTCCGCCCTCACCTGCGCCCGTCTGCCCCCCTGCTTCGTTGCACGCGCCTTGGAGTGGCGCTGCAGGGTGCCCTGGCGGCACGGCGATTGCCGTTCACTACCAGCCGGACACGCTGACTCAGCACGGGATGACCACTCAGCATGGCGTGGTGAGTCAGCAAGGGGTGGTGAGTCAGCAACGGGTGGTGGTGAGTCAGCAAGCTTCAGCAGGACAGCAGTCCCTCACACCCCCATCTCCCCTTCTCCGCCTGCCCTCCTCACTGCAAGCACCACCCCACACTCACACCAGCAGCCCCGCCTGTTCCTTCTCCACCCCTCCCTACCCCTCCTCCTCCACCTCCTCCACCCACACTCTCTCCCTCTCCCCCCCGTGCGTCCCCCTCCCTCACCTCCCCCTCTGCGCCGCCGTCTCCCCCTCCCCCATTCAGTCCAAACGGCCGCCCATGCTGCAGGCCTCCCCGCAGCTACAGCCGTCCCAGCAGCAGCAGCAGGCATCGCCGTCCCCGCTACAACCGTCCCCGTTACAACCATCACCGCTACAACGGGGAACGCTACAGCTACAGCTACAGCCGTCCGCATCGCCAGTGCAGCAATGCACACCTCCCCCCCACCTGCAGCAGGGCGCACAGCCCACGTGGTGTGCTGTGCCGCCTGCAGGGGTGACTTGCTCGCCTGCCCAGCCGTGCACACTGCACCCGCCTTCTGTGCCGCCTTCTGTGCCGCCTTCTGTGCCGCCTTCTGTGCCGCCTTCTGTGCCGCCTTCTGTGCCGCCTGCTGCTCCGTGCCTGCAACACACTGCTGCGCCCTGCTGCCCACATGCCTCCCTGCCCTGCCAGCAGCAGCAGCAACAGTGGCAGTACCAGCAACAACAGCAGCAGCAGCAGCAGCAGCAGCAGCAGCAGCAGCAGCAGCAGCAGCAGCAGCAGCAGCAGCAGCAGCAGCAGCAACAGCAGTGGCAGCAGCAGCAGCAACAGCAGTGGCAGCAGCAGCAGCAGCAGCAGCAGCAGTGGCAGCAACAACAACAGCAGCAACAATGGCAGCAACAGCAGCAGCAGCAACAACAACAGCAGCAGCAGCAGCAACAGCAAGTGTGTTCGCATGCTGTTGCTGCTGCTACTGCTCCCGCCCCTCCTGTTCTCTCCACATTCCACACAGCCACCATGGTACCCGCTTCGCATGCGGTTACCACAACACACAGCACCGGAGCAACAACTACTCCCCACACGCATCACTTTTCTACTCTCAGTGCTGCTGGTGGGGCCAGTCAAGAGGGGACAGCAGCACAAGCAGTGGCGCAAGTAGCCCCTCAGGCTCAGGGGGAGGGGATGATGCTGCTGGGGAAGTTTATTGCATCGCCCTCCCCGTCCCCGTCCCCTTCGCCTGGCGACTCGCCGCGCAGACGCCTGAAAAGGGAGGAGTCGTTTCATGTGGGTAGGGATGAACAGCAGGGGCGTGTGGCGAGGGTGAGGGGAGGAGGTGCGAGGGGGAGTGGAGGCGTGGTGCAGCGGCTGACAGCGCAGTTTGATGCACAGTGTGATGCAGAGGGGGCTGCTGCTGATGCTGCTGCAGGTCTCACACAGCGTGGTGCTGACTTGAGGACATCTAAGGACCAGAGCCGCCAGGTCAATTTGAACCTCTCCCTCTAGAAACGTACCTTCTGGTGTTGGGAGATGTGTTACATTCTGGTGCTATGCTCTGTCTAGGGACTACCGTAGTTTTAGTGAACAGAAGGCTACGATGATAATATTATCCTATGTTCCCGTAAGCATTTTGCATTAAAATGATGACTTCGTTATTGAGTGACCAGCTAAGGGATGAATGAACCTCACAACAGAAGAGGGGGCAGGCAGGCTCTCATGCACTTCCACAACAATGTGTACAAATATTATTGCATACGGTAGTAAGCCTACTGTACTTGTCTTGACCTATACTCCACACCCCTCCTTGGCCCCTCTCACGCTGCCCCCACTGCTCTCTGCCTCATCCTCCTCGTCACCACTCCCTTCCCCACTGCTACCACTGCCACCACTACCACTCCCCTCCATCTCTGGCTGCACCTCTGCGCCTCCAGCATGGATCCCGGCGTTTCCCCCGTGCACTCAGACACACTCTGATGCACTCTGATGCACTCCGATGCGCGCCCCTCCTCACCTGCCCCCACTGCTCTCCACCTCATCCTCCTCACCAGCACTGCCCTCCCCGCTGCTACCGCTGCCACCGCTCCCACTGCCCTCCATCTCAGGCTGCACCTCCGGTGCATCCAGCATGGACCCCGGTGTTTCCCCCGTGCACTCTGATGCGCGCCCCTCCTCACCTGCCCCCACTGCTCTCCACCTCACCATCCTCCTCACCACCACTCCCTTCCCCACTGCTACCACTGCCACCGCTACCACTGCCTTCCATATCAGGCTGCACCTCTGGTGCTTCCAGCATGGATCCCGGTGTTTCCCCCGTGCACTCAGACGCACGCCCCTCCTCCTCGCCCGCCCCCGCACACGCCTGCAGCTGCCGCACCCACAGGGGGAAGTCCACACTCGCTGCAATCGCCGCTGCTGCTGCCGCTGCTGCCGCTGCCACTGCTGAGCCGGGCGCTGCTGCGTCAGCTGAGGCTGCCGCTGCTGCTGCCGCGCCTGAAGCAACGGGGTGTCCGGTCTGCCGAGCCTGCACAGGCTCGGCCAGCCGTGGGGTGATTCGGCATGGTAGAGGAGGTCGGGAACGGTGGGGAGCGTCTGAAGAGAGGAGAGGGAAAGCGAGAGCGGCGTTGGGTGCGCTGGGGAGTGCGCGGGGGAGTGCAGGCGGCGCAATGCCAAAGCGCGCCTTCGCGGGAGGAGCGACAGGAGCAGCAGTGCTTGGCATAGCAGCGGGTCCTCCCAGGCGGCTGGGAAGGCCATGGCGACGGCGCACGTGGGCGCGGCCGGCAGCGCCGTCCGCTGCAGCCTGCGCCTCGTTTGCCTTCCGCTTCTCCCCCGCTCGCTCCGCCTCGTCCGCATCCAAACAGGGCGACGAGATCGGATGCGCTGCCTCCCCGCGCTCCGCCAACCCCGACCCCTCTTCCGCCATCTCCGCCGCGCACTGCGTTGACTCCACCTCGTACTCTCCGCCTCGTCCGCCACCCCCATTCCTTCCGCCGTTTCTCCCGGTCGAGCTTCCGCCGATGCGCACGGTCGCAACACTGGAGCCCAGCTCCCGCGCGTGATGCGGCGCCGCGGCGGTCGCATCTACACCGCCAGCCGCGCCCACGCGGCCTCCAACGGCTAGTTGCGCCGCGTTGTGCGTTGCGAGTGTCGCGACATCAGCTGCCGCGCGCGCGTTTTCCACCTCCCTGGCGGCTTCCGCCGCGTGCCCCTCGGAGTTAGTGTGCTCGCTCGATTGGTCGCCGCTTGCGCTCGCACTCGAGGTGCCTCGCATTGTCGGCAGGCGGTGCCTCAAGCCTCCTTGACGGACGATAAATCTTCTCTTCTTCTGCCCGCGGGCAGCCGCGAAACCAGGACTGTCCAGCATCTGACGCATCCCGCTCAGAATGCCCAGCCGCTGCTTCCGCCGCCTCTCCTCCTCCGCTTCCGCCTCTAACTTCCCCCAATCTTGCGCTCCGCCAGTCCCCCCAGCTTCAACGTGCGCAGCTCCCTCGCATTCCCGCGCATCCATCCGCCGGCGCTTGACTGCGCGGAGGCGCTCCTGCCACGTCCAGGGCCAAGCGGAAGGTTCCTCTACTGGAGGCGGAAGGGCCGTCGTATCCCCCGCAACCAGAACAAGCTGTAGATGCGACGCGGGCAACCCCGACTCGAGCGGATTCACGCTTGCGCCTCCCCTCTCGCATGCCTCTCCCCCTCCCCCGGGAGACGGGGTTTCCGCCAGCGGTTCACGGGAAGCGATGCCCTCGCCTCTCGAGCACCGCAGCGGCTGGAATGGACCGAAGGGAAACATTGGAGTGGCAGATTCGGGCCGAACCAGCGGCAATGGCTGGGTCGCACCAGCTACGGGAGACTCCGCGAGAGAGGCGAGCGGGAGATGCGGCCGAGCAGGCGGGAGAGAGAGCGGCGACGACGCATCGTGGGGCCGCTGTGAATATCCCGGTGATCGGCAGGTATTCGAAACGCAAGGGAGGGGAAGGGGAAGGGGAAGGTATGTACTACGCGGATTTGGTGCGGTGGGAACAGCAATGGCGGGGCGCGTGGGTCCGAGCTGAATGACCTTCCACGTGTCGCTAAAGCTCTTTGAGTTGGTGCGATTCCGCGACAGATTTATCCACGCCATGGATTCGTTCGTAGCTCGCCTTTATCCACGAAGCTATTCGAGGAAGAATTCAGAGACTGGTGTGCGCGATGGCTTCGTAAATGACCGAGAAAAATGTTCCTATTTCGCCACACGCTGTGAAGAATACTGAAGTGCTTGGACGAAAGAATGGTGAGGATGTTCGATTCTGCAGACGCTGTGGTTGTACAGTATGTGAGCAACGCAAGACGATGTAGCTTCGTGTGATCGCTGTTCCTTACCATACCACTCCCCACCACTTCCTGTCAAGTCCAATATGGATTCTGGACCCTGCCTGGAGTGCATCTCCAGAAGCAGAGGAGCATGCAGCAGAGCAGAGCAACAGGCTGTACTCACAACAACAACCTTGCAGAAGAGTGTATCTTGCAGGGAAATTGCTCCACAACGCTCCATCAAACTCCGCTGAAACAATCAGTTGCTCTGTGCTGAGGTAAATGGAGGCCGAAGAAGTTTGGGGTGGAGGTTGTACAGAAGCAACGACCACATTTTTGTAAATTTATGAAGTTCATTGATTTTTTGGGCGTAATACATCCAGTCCCATGTTTTCGCCCGTCGTGCCAGGACAGCGTGAATCCGTGTCCTAGTGGCACGGGTTTCGAGTGTAGGAGTTCTGGTCGGCTGAGAGTCGTGATCCCGTAGCCATAGCCTTTAGGGAAACCCATAGCATCCGCCCAACACTGAATGAAATGGCTGCATTGCTGCACTCCGAATCATGTGCTTCGAGTACAGTACGCATACGGCCGAGGACGATTTGCCGTGTGCGTGGATAGATTGGAAGCCGTTGGCACAACCATTAGCATCATGATTGGACGATCCAGTGCTGGGAGAGCTGGACAGGTGTCCTCCTCAAGAGTGGAGGAGAGACCAAACCAGCACGAGATGTGCGATCTTGCGCAAGCACGCGCGGACGATCACATGAGACAGTCAGTGTGCCAGCGAAGCAAGGCTGGATCCGACGGCTGTGTTTGTTGTACATAAAAACCAGAAGCGCAATATGTGGTTGCCCAGCCCACAGGGAAAAATATCAGAAGCACAGCTTCTAGATGGCGAGTCTGGTACACTCGTTGTGAGGGCACGAGAGGAACTATTATGAAGGAGAGTAAACACCCTACACCTGAAAATAATACAGTGTACAGAACTGTCTGGCTGTCGAGCTGTACACTTGCGGTGCAAAATCTCGGGTTCCGCTCGGACTGCGCTATCGTTTGCTGTGAACACAAGTGAAAAACGATCCACACCTATGGGGACAGCTTCAGTCTACTTAAAGCCAGCAGGCAAAATAGTGACCCCCCCCTTCTAGTTGGGTCCACTTGAAAATGAAGTATTTTTGTTGTGTTTGGGAAAGTTGGAAGTGCTGTGTGAGTGCTTTTTTTTCCGACCTTCAGAAGAGTTTCGTATTGGACCAGGAACGAAAGTTCATTCTCAATTCTGATTGGCAGCCAGGTTCAGGGACATGATGTGCGAATTTGGCGCAAAGTTGAGCGACGAGCACTCCTGCATTCACTAGAGCCACTAGTTCATCAAATTCACAACTAGCAAACATCTCACGCTAAATCCCAAGCAGACACACATGTACGTGATGCGAGTGAAAGTGTTTGAACGTTGTTAGAGCTAGTAGAGCTCTGATCAATGTGCTGCCTTGGACTTGAGGCCTGGGAGAGGTGCAATAACGGGGTACAGAAGAGAAAAACAGCACGGGCGACGGGAAATGGGAGTGCGACGGGAAAGGGGAGGGCGACGGGAAAAGGCGACGGGAAACGGGAGGACGACGGGAAACGGGAGGGCGACGGGAAACGGGAGGGCGACGGGAAACGGCGACGGGAAACGGGAGGACGACGGGAAACGGGAGGGCGACGGGAAACGGGAGGGCGACGGGAGAGAGGATAGGCGACGAGAGAGAGGATAGGCGACGGGAGAGAGGGTGACGAGAAGGGATGGAAAGACGGGGAAAAAAATCAAACAAACAAACAAAACACAATAACAGAGTACGGAATGGGTCACGATGACGAAAAGGGCGCGGAGAGAGAGAGAGGGCGACGAAAAGGTCGCGGAGAGAGAGAGGGCGACGGGAAGGGAGGGGCGAGAGAGAGGGCGACGGGAAGGGCGCGGAGAGAGAGAGGGCGACGGGAAGAGAGGGGCGAGAGAGAGGGCGACGGGAAGGGAGGGGCGAGAGAGAGGGCGACGCGGAGAGAGAGAAGGCGACGGGAAGGGAGGGGCGAGCGGGAGGGCGACGGGAAGGGCGCGGAGAGAGAGAGGGCGACGGGAAGGGAGAGGCGAGAGAGAGGGCGACGAAAAGGGCGCGGAGAGAGAGAAGGCGACGGGAAGGGAGGGGCGAGAGAGAGGGCGACGGGAAGGGAGGGGCGAGAGAGAGGGCGACGCGGAGAGAGAGAAGGCGACGGGAAGGGAGGGGCGAGCGGGAGGGCGACGGGAAGGGCGCGGAGAGAGAGAGGGCGACGGGAAGGGAGAGGCGAGAGAGAGGGCGACGAAAAGGGCGCGGAGAGAGAGAGGGCGACGGGAAGGGAGGGGCGAGAGAGAGGGCGACGGGAAGGGAGCGGAGGGAGAGCGCAATGGGAAGGGAGGGGCGAGAGAGAGGGCGACGCGGAGAGAGAGAAGGCGACGGGAAGGGAGGGGCGAGCGAGAGGGCGACGGGAAGGGCGCGGAGAGAGAGAGGGCGACGGGAAGGGAGGGGCGAGAGAGAGGGCGACGGGAAGGGAGCGGAGAGAGAGAGCGCGATGGGTAGGGAGGGGCGTGAGAGAGGCCGACGGGAGGAGAGGAGGGGAGAGAGGGCGACGTTACGCGCGACGGGACGGGCGACGAGATGGCGACGTGACGCGCGACGGAATGGGAGACGGGAGGGCGATTTGGCGAACTCGAGGACAGCGTGGTGGGCGATGAGAGGGGTGAGAGGAATGGCGACGGGAATGGGGTTCTCTGCGATCGGAGGAAAATATCACTACGCAGCAAGGGCGACGAAGTATCACACACAACCTAATGATAATTTCATATCTATGCCGCATCAGCCTAATCCCTCGTCCCTTGCTATTCTATGCTAGGCAAGCTACGTGAGTTAGGCAAGCTACGTGAGTTAGGCAAGCTACGTGCGTTAGGCAAGCTACGTGAGTGAGTTGTGAACCCAGTTCCAGCTTGAAATCGATGTTGGAGCTGGCGACCAAAACGATCGCTTTGCGCTGGTCGTGAGGCTGCCGCACGTAGGAGGCGACAGCTAACATGAGCGCCAAAATTGATTTGGCGGGAGCCTGAAGAAGTATCATTTTGGTGAGAGCCAATCACATCATTTCGATCTGTGCACTTGAAATGTTTGGAACAGTGCTGAATCGGCCCGATCATCGCACACCCTTTCAAGCTGGGTTGGGGTTCACTATTTTGCATTCTGGTTTTAATATTTACAAGCACCTACACCATATTTTATTTGCAAGCATTACAGTTTGAGTTCCAGGTCTAGGTTGGAAGCCTTTGACACACTAGTAGTTCTATGCTTCTCCTTCGAAGAAGAATCAATATGTGCAGATCCTTCATGAGTGGAGTTGGTAGTAACTGCAGCAACCAGGGGAGTAGCGCCTGGAGCTCCAGTCCCAGTCTGCCCCCACTCCACACGTATCCTCTTGGCCACCTGGTTACTTTCCTCAATATTAATATTCCAATCGCTACCAGACGATCCCAGGTGGCGTGCTGACCCAACTCCTCCGTGGTGATCTGCAGTTTTGGCAGGCCCAGATGAAGCATGGTGTGGTTGAGTCCCAGAGGTGGACAACTGTTGATGTATCGAGGAGGTAAAATTTGAGGGATGAGAGCTAGCCATGGGATCAGCTGCGCCTGGTAGCTGTGCCTGGAGATGAGGGAATGGTACTGACGGTTGTTGTGCTTGCAGGTGTGCCTGTAACTGTAGATGTGCTTGTACTTGCATCTGTGCCTGCATCTGTGCCTGCATCTGTGATGCCTGGAGTTGGGCAGATGGATAGGCACTTGCGCTCCCACTGCCAGCTGGTACATGGCTGTGGTGCAAGGGGTTGAAGAGCGGTGCTGGTGGGTGCATGGAAGACATTCCTACCAGCCCAGGCGGCATGTGGTGGCCAAGAGGAGACAGAGAAATCGCAGCAGCAGACGGGAGGGAGGGGTGGGAGTGATGGCCCCATGCGTGAGCCATCGAAGCAAGGTGGGTGGAAGTTGCCGGGTGTGTCTGCATGGGCATGGGTAATGCAGGAAGAGGCAGGCATTGGAAGCTGTTGCTGCTGGTGCCGCCAAGGGGAATGGCACCAGGGATGCTGGTGCCAGGAGGAGGCGCCATGGCCCAGGGGTTTCCAGGGCCTGCGGATGGGAGCGCAAAGGCGGGTCCAGAAGCCGCGGCACTGGCAGCGGCAGCAAAAGCTGCCGATATAGAGGGATGGCTCCCAGCAGTTGTAGCAGCAGCGGCAGATGGATGAAGGAGCAAGGCACCAGCCATGGCTCTTTCTTCTCCATAAACCCCATTGCCTCCTCTCTGTGACGCGTCGCCATTCTCCCTGGGTTGCGCCTCCACCGAGTGTGACCTGGCACGTGTAGGCGAGCATGCAAGACGGCCCCCCTCGGCGCGCACTGACCCCACCTCCATGGACCCTCTCGTGCCCGCGGGGCTCTGCTTCGACTGCTCCGTCATCGGCTCGTCCGTGCAGCTCCCAGAATCACCAGCCGCTGCTGCCGCCGCCGCCGCTGCTTCCGCAGTACTGGGCCTCTGGGCGTCTGCTGGTGTGGGTGCAGGGAGATTGTGAGCGGCGGTGCGCGTGGCCAGGGTGAGTGCGAGTGCGGGGTGGGCAGCAGCGGAGGCGGGTGAGAGCAGCGCACGGTCGAGGGACACGGTAGAGTTGAGACTCAGGCGGTGGGTTAGTCCAAGCGGGGCCACGGCAGAGGCCGCATCGGCCGCACCTGTGCCACTGCCAGCAGCCACATCTGCTGAGTCTGCCACCGCCGGTCTTCTCTCATGGTCCGTCCGGCTTACAGGGACCACTGCAGCAGCGCCATCGCCCCCGTCAGCTCCTGGCGAAGCAGACACAGGCACCTGCATGTCTCCCTCTGCCGCAGCAGCTGAGGCAGCAGCGGCAGCACAGTTGGGGAGGCTGAGAGAGCAGGGGCCCGGCTGGCTGTGGTTGTGTGTCCCGTGGTACGACACCTGCGGCTTCAGTGCTGCTGCGCTGGAAGGGGCGGCGTCACTGGGCTTGGCGATGCTCCCATCGGCTGTGGCAAGCGACGCTGCAGCTGCTGAGACGGACGGAGCGGAGGCTGTAGCGGCTGACGATGTAGCGGCTGCGGCTGTAGCGATGGGGACGTCCACGGTCTTGCGCGCCATGCACCCCATGCTGTGCCGTGCACACCGGAAGTATGCCCTGAAGGGGGGAGAGGGGGAAGGTGTGCATGAGGAGAACGAGGGTGAAGGCGTGACGACAACAACCACGAGGTACAGCAAAGGGCGCCGGGTGCCGCAAGCGTCATGCGGATTGCAGCGGCGACCTCAACAATGCAACGCAATGCAGCTGCTTGCGCCTCGCCTCCACGGTGTGCAACCGAGACGAGACCACACCGCGACAACAATTGCAGCAGCAACAATGACGACGGTAGCCACACCAAGGATGGGCTTCACCCGGTTACGGCTGTACCTGGGGTAGGCTGTATCTGGGGAAGGCTGTACATGGGAAAGGCTCTACCTGGGAAAGGCTGTATATGGGGAAGGCTGCATCTGGGGAAGGCTGCATCTGGGGAAGGCTGTATATGAGGAAGGCTGCATCTGGGGAAGGCTGGATATGGGGAAGGCTGTACCTGGTGACGGCGCGGTCCATGACGCTCTTCTGGCCGTACTTGTGCCAGAAGTACCCGTCCGCCGCCACCACCGACCGGCTCCCCGCGTGCGCCACGGGCTTGCGCTTCCTGCGAGGACGGACGTACGGGAGGGTAACTCAGTGAGGCGTGGAACATGATGCGACGGAAATCGCGGGGAATGTGCGACGGGGAGTTGCAGGACGTGCGACGATGGAGCGGAATAAAATGGATCTGAAAGTTGGACACACGGAAATCGGAGAGGGACTCGCGAATTGAGGACAGACGAGAGCGAAATGCGGTTACCACATGGCTCGTTGATCAAACCACCATCTGACACCGATTTACGGTCGGACATCGACCACAAGCGTCATTTACTTACTTCGACGCTCCCCGCATTGAAGTGTTGTTCGGACCACCGCTCCCCCCGCCGTCGCCTCCTTCAGTCCCGCCGCATTGGCCGCCGTGAAATGCGGCGGTCTCCGTGGATGCGCCGGCAATTGATCCCGACGGTGGGGCGTCGCTCAGGGGGTGATGATTCTGTCCCACCGGCAACGGCGCGGCGGGCTTGGCGAAGGCAGACGGAGCCGCGTCGCCGCGGTCGGAATCGAACCGCGAAGCGCCCGGGAACGTCTTCGATAATACGTGCCTCGACAGGAGGGGCTCTTGGCCTTTGCTGTGGTTGCTGCGATCGTGCCATGAACGCGGGTCGGTCGTCGGGCTCTGGCCGAACAGCTGCGAGCTCGACGTGACCATCTGTCCCTGCGCCGACGACCCAGCATTGCTCCCGTCGAGCTTCTCGTTTCCGCCAATGTAATTGTAATGAGCGTGACTGAAGCGATCGCTATGTGTCGTCGCAGTGTACGGCATGCTTTCTCTCGGCGAGCCGCTGAAGACGTCCATCGTTGAGCTTCCAGCGCGCGTCAGCGCGGTGGACCACGTGGCAGGAACGTGCATCGCGGCGGATGCGCCGCGATCCGAGGCGGATCTCCGGAGTGCGTCGCCGTGAGCAATCTCGCCGCCAGGGGCGCTGAAAGCGCCAGCGCCGGAGCCGGAGAGCGACGCGAACATCAGTGACGAGGGACCCGGACCCCACGAGGGCGACGCGAAGGACGGGATAAAATTGAGGCTGGATGGCATTTTCTCCGCATTTGACGGAGGGAGGGGGAGTGCTGGTCGGTTGTCCGGCTTATTAAGCCCTTGATCGGCGTGTGGATACATCACGATCCGCTGATATCTGATATAGGATGATTGACTTGGTCGACAAACAACTAAATTACTAATTTAGTATATGTCGTTAAGATCACCCTCCTACGGCAGTGTAAGGCAATCACGGTGCAGAATAGGCGATAAAAGCGCGTATTCACGACATTCGAAGAAGATATGTTGCTAAGCGAAACTCGTGGGTGAGTTAGCGTAGGAGGTATGGTACGCGTGTGTCTCTGAACTGAACCACATGAATCCTTGAAACTGGAAATGAGAGAGGATAGCACGACCGGGTCAAGATGGACTCCTCTCCAATGATCGGTTGGTCAGAAACGATGCACATCCACCCATGTGTCTCGTCTCGCCTCGCCTCGACCACGCTAATTTCGCTTTCCTGTTCCTGCCATGCCATGGCTGCCGTGGCTGGGAGTGCTGCTGAGTTCACTCACCGCACCATCACCGCCCGTGCCCAACACCTGCCCTGCCCAGCTGACAATGGGGGGGTCGAATCGAAGCCTCACTCAGTTGGCTGGATGGCTTGTGCTCCCCCTTTAGTGCGGCGGCAGCTGTCTGTTTGGAATTTCGAACCACGCTACTGGTGGTGTGAAGCTCAGAGTGCTTTCAATATTTTGTTGTGAATGTGGGATGGGAAACTCGGAATTCATTTGTGGTCAGCTCGCATCCGCGGCTCCAGAAATTCCGGTACAGTAATGCGCAAAGCCGGATCAGCCTTGATTCCCGTGAACCACCAAGTGAACATGGGTGATGTGGATTCCCAGGCAGTTCTGTACAAAGCTCTAGTTGACGTGTAAGTAGGCCGTAAGTCTCCCTAACAGAAAGGTGGCTTTCGTAATATAAGGTCTAGTTCCATGCAGTTTTGATTCAAAACCGAAAAGGTTGGGTTTGAAAATGTATTTCGTCACCGCCTTTACCATCAGCATTATATGCCACGGCGCCGGTGTGCAGCAAACAGCAAACAGAACTTCCAGATGGGTACAATCTTGAATCTTGCTTGCCTCGTCAGGAATTGCTGGGGCCTGGCTCAACTGGATGGCCAACCCTTTCGATGTTCAGACAGCAGAACCTGTTCTTTTTAGCGAACACATTTTGCTACCTTGACATTGGAATATCTGCTGGGTCCAGGGAAATGACCCAATTCTTGCTTTCTGATCCCCAGCACAAGGAATCTGTCAAGAAGGTTGCTTCCCTGGGCATCAAAAGAAATTGCTGCGGGCAGCGAGAAAGGAGTGTTGAGAGAATGATGTCCCGCCAAATTGTTTGGATCTGTGATGTACAGTGGCCGCGGATACGATTTGCATGGGTGGTGTTTATCAAAGGCCATCGAGAAATCCGTTTCTTCACCGAGATTCAAGCCAAGCTGCGCTGGCCGTTATGAGCTGTCGTTAATTAGCGGTGGTGCGAAGGGACAAAGTGTGCTTGCCCTGCGAGACAAAACTTGGAAATACACGGGAAAGGAAGCAAATACATTCAATGTTGCAACCTACAGTGATTCTATATGTTAGTAGCTATCCTACATTTAGCAACCACATCACCCTCTTATAGCCTCCATACTGTACTCATGTTCTTCAACTTTTCAACAAGCAAGCCCTCCATCAACTTTCCCATGTGGAAGCTGGCCAATTCCTCTCTTTTTTGCTGAACCGGAATGTAGAGGGCACATTTCTCAACCAATTGTCACAAAAACCTGTACCAGTAGTGTGCGGTTTTGAAAAACAATAAATACATTAAGTGAATTGCAATAAGAGATGCCAAAAATACATGAGCTCCCTGGACATCTGGCTTGCCTACAACCTGTAAGGAGCATGCAAGCTAGCACCACAAGCACCCTGTCATTTACTGTTCCCGAGTCAAGAACTTACCAGTAGACCAGCAGCAGCAAAGAATGCATCATCCACTAACACTACCACTTGCAATGCAACTGGATCCACATCCACAATCACGTGTATCTGTGACCTGAACGGTCATACAAGAGTGTAAATGAGCGGGGCACACATTTCATGCACCACAGTGGGAGCCACGTTCTCTCTCAGCTTGAACACGCTGTCAATCACATACAGCTCTGTGGCCGTCGTGTCAAACCCTGCAAATGCCACACAGTCATTCGCCACAGGCCCCGCCCCCACCACCTCACTGCCGCGGTTCACTGTGCCGGCCACCAGGGGCACTTGTAGCAATAATGACAGCTTGTCCAGATCCTCCACTGAGGACTTCTGAGGCGCCTCTTGCAGGTGGATCTGGTGGCATGGCGAGTGGTCACACACATGGGTGGTTGTACGCATGAGCAGAGGGCGACCATGCAACATGCGAGCCACTCCAACAATGAAATAGCAAGTGAGCACAGGAACGAGTGAGACTAGAGTGGGTCAAAGAGTGGAAGGAAAGGAGGAGGGGGGAGGGGAGAAGGATGGCGAAGGGTGTGTGCGAGCGTTGTGAAACGAAGTGGCAAAGACGGCTCTGCACTGCAGTGCTTGACATCGATGGGACAGCAGCGGGAGTGCAAGTGATCAGGCCGCCACGGTTGGTGAAGACGCTGTAGCTGTAGCTGCCCATGAGGATGTTGCCGGTGATGGTCTGCCGGAACACCTCCAACCCCAACACGTCCGCTATCCGCTCCTCCGTCTCCTGCCACACCGAGGCACACGGAACATACAGGGCACAGCAAGCACACGCGGCACAGGAAACACACGGGGCAGAGGAAGAGAGCACGAGGCGATTCTCTACTGGAACACCTCCACCCAGCACGTCCGCTGTCAGCTCCTCCGTCTCCTGGTGGCGGCGAGGGAGAGCAGCATGAGGGGAGGCACACGGAGCACACGGGGCAAAGGGAACTCAGAGTGCAGAGGAACACAGCATGAGGCAATGGTGGCGGCGCAACACCTCCACCCCCAACCCAACACGCCCGCTATCAGCCCCTCCGTCTCCTGGTGGCGGCGAGGAGAGCAGCATGAGGCAGAGTGACAGAGAGGTGTGACGAACTGCAGTGCAAGCAGCGGCAAGAGAGTAGCACAAGTGAAGTGCATGGGGGATAAGGTAGGATTCGCGGGATGAGGAGGATATAACAGGGATATCAGAAGGTGAGGCGAGTGGGGGCTCAGGGAATACAAGCCAGAGTGAAGGGTTCATCTCTCACAGGTGAGTGAGATCACCCACTGAACAATCCTCATCACTGCACCCACACCTCCCTTGCCAGTCATAGCATTCGCCGCAGCAGTTGTGTGATCCAAGCACACGGGCACGTGCACAGGAAAACCTGGGAGGCAAATTCACTGATAACGACAGAGGGGTCATACCGCAACGCGCGTGGGGGCTCAGGGAATACAAGCCAGAGTGTCGGGTTCATGTCTCACAGGTGAGTGAGATCACCCACTGAAACGGTCTCATCACTGCACCCACGCCTGCCTTGCCAATCACATGCGCTGGGTTTGCCGCAGCATGGGCAAGAGTTATGTCATGCACGCACACTGGCACCCGTAGAAAGCAGACTTAAGGATATCAAAAAGTGGGCGCTCAGGGAATACAAGCCAAAGTGTTTGGCTCATGTCTCACAATGTGAGATCACCCACTGAATGATCCTCATCACTGCACCCACGCCTGACTTGCGGAGCAAGGGATGTTGCAGCATGTGCAAGAATCATGCAATGAAAGCACACGGGCAAGTGCACAGGAAACGTGGCAGGCGGATTCGCATACTGATGCTGAAGCACAAATATATCCTAAAGCCAGGACCGAGAGCTCACACAGCGAGGCGAGTGGGCGCTCAGGGAATACAAGCCAGGGTGAAAGGCTCATGTCTCACACATGAGATCACCCACTGAATGATGCTCATCACTGCTCCCACGCGTGCCACGCAGATCACATGCGGCTGCGGTTGTTGCAGCAAGCAGAAGCACCCGCAATGCACGCAGCACAGTAGCACAGTAATTCGTTCAGTTGACCTGCTCTGATTGGTCATTTGAGGTCCGGAAAAACCAGTCCCAAACCACAATGCAGCAGCTTCGGGAGTGATGAGGGGTCATTGAGTCTTATCAACCGCACTCACTCTATCAAGATCCGCGTTCCGCGTGGATGCGCGTCGCGCCACATAGTCCTTGCACCTCACGCAGTTGCCCGCTGCCTTATGAGTCGACTCACGGCAGGGTCGCTCACTGCACCGAAGAGTGGGCAGTGAGGAGGGGTCATTCTCTCTTATCGAGATCCGCGCGGATGTGCGTCGCGCCAAATAGTCCTCGCACCTCACGCAGTTGCCCAGCGCCGACAACAGCTCGTCCACTCGCGGCACCACCACCGATTACGGCAGCGCGTTGCGCATGTGCAGTAGCTCTATGAGAAGGGGGCGAGGGACGGGGGGAGCAGGGGAAAAGGTGTGTGTCGAGGAGGGGAAGGAGGCGGGACGAGGGGGTTTTGGGGGAGGAAAACGGGAATGCCGGGGACGGAACGGGAGACCGGGAGGGGCGGAGGAAGGAGGTGCGGAGCGGAGCAGTGGCGCGGGAGCAGGAGTAAGGGAAGGCACGAGATGGCGCATGCAGAATGAGTTCACGTGCAAGAGCGGAGAAAACGTGTAGTAAGTCGATTTTTAAGTCGACTAAAAAATCGACTTACTACATGCAGAATGAGTTCACGTGCTAGAGCGGAGAAAACGGGGTGAGAGTGAGCGGGGAGAGAGGAGGAATTAGGCAGCGCGGGGAAAGGTGGGAAGCACCACTGCTCTGCGCACTAAGACTAGAACTGATTCTGAATGAGCTGCTTCTGAAAATGGCCGGACGGAGACTTGGGGATTTGAACTGAAGAACCCTCGACCCTGATCTCTCCTAGTGCAAAATGAAGCGGTTGGCGACAGATGCGAAAGGAAGGGGCCTTTCGCGAGCGCTGCCCCACGCGCAACCCTGGGGTGCGTGGCTGCGGACCCTCGGTAAAACTCATGGACAGAATAATCAAATTACTAGCTAACGACGAATATGTACAGCAAAATAAAAAATTCAGCAATATAAACAGCAGGGCCATAAGGACTACACGGTTTACAATTTCTAAAGCAATGTTCCACGCAGGCCGCAATAATCAAATCTAACCAGAGAGAAGAATCTTCCCTTGGCGATTCTCCGCCATCTGGTTCTTGAGCGCAGCGGCAAACTCTGAGAGGTCCATTTTGTCACCCGTAAAGGGGGTGACGGTGCCATTGGCGATCAGATCAAACGCCTCCTTCACCACAGTCTGGCGCTGCTCGTGGCCCAGCGCCTTCAAGTAGGGCCCCACCCAGAAGCCCTTGAGCGTCACATCCCTGCGTTGCAAAGCAGGGCACAGGTCAAAACACACGAAGGCGCTTGTGATACGAGGCAAGCTGAGCACTGGTACAGGTCAGCGTGAATTTCCCCACAAGGGGTTGAACGAGCGTCAGAGCAGAAAATAAGCCGGCCAATGAAAAGCAAGCAGCATGTGACCTGAGTTGAAATGGAAAGAAATAAACTTCACTCACCTGAAGATGAAGTCTCCGATGGAGGCGGATAAGGTGGCCCCGGAGGGTTAAACAAGCATAAAAACAGTCGGGCCAATGAAGGGCGACCAGCAAGTGACTGGAGTTGAAATACACAGTTCACCGACCGGAAAATGAAGTCTCCAATGGAGGCGGAGAAGGTGGCCCCGGAGGCGCCTTTTGAGGCGCCTCAAAGGGCAGGCAGCAAGTGACCTGTACTGAGGGAGACAGTTTCACTGACCTGAAAATAAAGTCTCCAATGGAGGCGGAGAAGGTGGCCCCGGAGGCGCCTTTTGAGGCGCCTCAAAGGGCAGGCAGCAAGTGACCTGTACTGAGGGAGACAGTTTCACTGACCTGAAAATAAAGTCTCCAATGGAGGCGGAGAAGGTGGCCCCGGAGGCGCCCCCAAAGAGCAGCATGGTGCCACCCGGACGCACGGAGGCGCCACACCTGACCTGAGTTGAAATGGAAAGAAATAAACTTCACTCACCTGAAGATGAAGTCTCCAATGGAGGCGGAGAAGGTGGCTCCGGAGGCGCCTCCAAAGAGCAGCACGGTGCCGCCCGGACGCACAGAGGAGAGCACTGCACCCGTGAGGTCGCCCGCCACGCTCTCCACCGCTGCATGCGCCATTCTGCCGCCCGTTATGGCTCGCACCCTCTCCGGCACACTCTCGTCCGAGGAGCAAATGACCTGCATGTGAGCATGCGGGTGCGGACCAGGATGGGGATATTTGAGTCGACTCTGAGGTCGCCCGCGACGCTCTTCACCACTGCATGCGCCATTCGCCCTCCCGTTATGGCTCGCACCCTCTCCGGCACACTCTCGTCCGTTGAGCAAATCACCTGCATGTGTGAGCATGGGGATGGGGATGGGGGGGATGGGGATGGGGATGGGGATGGGGATGGGGATGGGGATGGGGATGGGGATGGGGGGGATGGGGATGGGGATGGGGATGGGGATGGGGATGGGGATGGGGATGGGAAAGAGGGAGAAAAGATGGGACGAGACGGAAGTGAAACCCATGCCAGTGAGCTCTCCATGTAAATAACTCCATTCACCTTCAGCAGCCCCTCCCAACACGGAAACTCACACCGCTCTACCCCTTCCCGCCTCCCCCACTGCCTCTCCCCCACCTCCCCTGCTCTGTCTCCCTTCCCAACGTCTCCCCAAGCTTCCCCCTCCTACTCAGCGCACCTCATCGCCGCCCAGCGCACCTCATCGCCCCCCCCTCCCCCCTTCTGTCTCCCTCCTCCTACTCAGCGCACCTCGTCGCCGCCCAGCGCCTTGAGCTCGGCGGCCTGAGCGGCGCGGCGCACGACGTTGATTGTCTTAATGCCGCGTGCGCGCGCCACCTGGATGAGCATGCGCCCCAGCGTCGACCCCGCCTGTGTCTGCACCAGGTACTCGCCTGCGCGGAAGAGAGCCAGGGGGAGGGGGAAGGGCAAGGGAAAAAAGGGGCCCGGGGGGGGAGAGGGCAAGTGGGCAAGGGGCCAGGGGGGCGGGGAGTGGGGGGAAAGTTTGGGACGGGGGTAGGGGCAGTGATAAAAGGGAGGAAGAATGTGGGTGCTGTGTGTGTGTGCATAACCCACCTAGCCTGGTGAAAGGATGCACTCTTCTAGGATAGAATGTGAGGGGATGGATAGAGAAGAAAACGGGGAGGGGGTACGATGAGCGCGTGAGCATGGAAGGAGCATTTGATACAAAACGAGTCAGCCTGTAACGAGTCCGCGTCTCACCCTTGGGAACGTTCAGTTGGTTCAGCATGCCCAGCACCGTCAGCGGATTCACCGCCAGTTGCGCCGCGTCCTCGTCGCGCACCCCCGCGGGCACCGCCGCCACATGCGCCGCGTCCACCGCCATGTATTCCTGCCACGCGCCGCTGCCCGCCTCCAGCGCGCCCAGCGCCAGCAGCGGCACCACGCGCCGCCCCACCGCCAGATCCGGCGCCGATTGCGCTACGGCTTCCCCCAGCGCCGCCACGACTCCCATGCCCTCAAGCCCGAGCGTTGCGGGAAGCGCGCTTGCCGGCGCGAATCCCGGATAGTAGCCCATGGCGCAGAAGCCGTCCGCGGGATTCACGGGCCGAAGCTGCATCCGAACCAGAACCTGGTTTGGGCCGGGGCTAGGAACGGGCTTGTCTGCTACGAGCCGCAGGTTGTCTGTGAGGCGAGTTGGCCCCTCGAATGCGAGCACTGTAGCTGCGCGCTGCGTCGCTGGGATCTCGGCGGCGGATGACGTGGCCATTGCGCGGTGCGGCAGGCGCGAGGGGCAGGGAGATGGCGGCGTGACGTGCGGCGGCGTGTGTGGGGCAAGCGGGGCAAGCGGCGCGAGTGGGGCAAGGGAGAAGGCTCGGAGAGGCGCCGATCTGGTCAGGAGGTGAGGAGTAGAGGCGGGAAGAAGAGGAGGAAACGCGATGGAAGCGACGGAGGCAAGGGAGGCAAGGCGGGCGGGTGCTCTGAAAAGCATCACTGGGCAAAAGGGGGCCGGGGGCGGAGACTAGCGCGCCGAGCGCGCAGGGTGCAGATCTAGAATGAGGTCGGGCGCGGAAATGTGGAGGGCAAGGGGAGGAAGGAAGTGGAGGTGTGTGGATGGGAAGTTAGCCAAACGATTGACGATGGATGGAGGGGAGGGGCGAATTCCAGTTTCGGAATTCCAACATTGTGCGATGCACGTGTGGACGCGTGGCCGTGAGCTGGCAGATGTATCTGGGTCTGGACTGGGCATCGCCTTCCCACAGACGCGTTTGTGCAGGCTTCGAACACATTGTCAGTTACATTCAACAGCACGAAACTCTTATTTCATTCTACCACTCCCTATGTTGCTACAATCGTGGCACAACTAGAATGCGACACTTGCAAAGAGCAACATGCCTGAAACGTCACAACTTCCAGCCGTGCGCGCTTCTCTATTGCGCGGCCGAGGGGGCCGAGAGCACATCGGCGGAAACCCAGGTGTGGGTCTTGGTGGGAATGATGCCCTGCCGGCAGTAAAACACACATGCCGGCTGCTTCACCTGCGCCCGCGCCTCATCACTGCACGCGGGCGGCCAGTCGGTCGGCAGAGCGGGCGGCTGGGAGGTGCCGGTGGTGCTGGGGTCGGCGAGGGCGAGAATGGCCGGGCTGAGCTGCTTGCGGCACAGCTGCTTGCCGGGCGGGCGGATGATCGAGGGGTCCTCCATGGCGTTACGGGAGTACTTTATAAGGAGGATGGCCCAGTAGAGCGCATGGCCCTGCTTGGAGCATGCCCACCTGTGGTGGGGCGGAGGAGGGAAGGGCACGTTGTGAGAGCATGGGCACGTTGTGAGAGCATGGGCACGTTGTGAGAGCATGGGCACGTTGTGAGAGCATGGGCACGTTGTGAGAGCATGGGCACGTTGTGAGAGCATGGGCACGTTGTGAGAGCATGGGCACGTTGTGAGAGCATGGGCACGTTGTGAGAGCATGGGCACGTTGTGAGAGCATGGGCACGTTGTGAGAGCATGGGGATGACGACATGTGATGGCAGGAATATGTTGGGTTGCATCTATGGCGATGGGGAGGTTCATTCATGCACGTGGGGTAGGCAGGGCATGCGATGTACAGCCACCGACAGCATCGCACACCACTCGGGATGGTTTTGGAGCGCCTAAAAAACAGCCCTGCGGATCACTTCGGCACATGGGTCAGGCATGTGGGTCAGGCATGTGGGTCAGGCATGTGGGTCAGGCATGTGGGTCAGGCATGTGGGGTAGGCCCGTGGGGTAGGCAGGGCATGCGATGTGCAGCCACCGACAGCATGGCACACCACTCGGAATGGTTTTGAAGCGCCTCATAAACAGCCCTGGGAATCACATCGGCACATTGGCACACAAGACGAGACTCACTTGGCAACTCTCTTCCCTGCCATCGCCATGTTGCGCACGTGCCTGTCGTGGTTCTGCGCCCACCGCAGCTTCTCCACCAGGTTGTCAAAGTGCCGGTTGGCAGGGATGAAGTTGACGTACGGCTTCAACATCGGGACAAAGAACTCCGAATACGGTGACTCCTGCCGGATCGCCACCTGGTGGTAGCACGTGTACGAAGGGGGAGAGTGGGGTTGGGGTGTGGTGGGTGGGGTGTGCCGGTTGGCCGGGATGAAATTGACGTACGGCTTCAGCATCGGCACGAAGAACTCTGAATACGGTGACTCCTGTCGGATCGCCACCTGCAGTCACGTGCACGAGAGGGGAGGGTGGGGGGGGGGGCGTGTGCCGGTTGGCCGGGATGAAGTTGACGTACAGCTTGAGCATCTGTACAAAGAACTCCGAATACGGTGACTCCTGCCTGATTGCCACCTGCCAGCTGCACGCCTGAGCGGGTGGGGTGGTGGGGTGAGGGGGGGTGAGGGGCGAAGAGGTGAGTGTGAGCACTGTGGGTGGCCGATCTGGAAGAGCAATAGGCCATCCATTGGATGGGCACGCGCTGTGCTGCTAGGAAGCAGCTGGTAGCTGCAGTGGAAGCGTCAGGGCTATATGTCATGTTCATACCCTCCCATGGCAGATGCATTAAAAGTGGGGCACATCACCTGTGCGCTCTCACGTGTGCACCAGACCAGGGGCAAATGCATGCTCCGACCTGGCGAGGATACGGCAAATGTGTGCGCGGCTCACTCACCTGCGCGCCAGTGGTGAGGATGGGGCACATCTGGTGGTGGTGTGCGCTGCCCGCCACAATGCCATACTTGAAGCGCGCCGGTGCCGCCTCCTCCACCGCCGCCCTGCCCTGCATCGCCACCCCGTCCGCCTTCATCCTGCCAACAGAGGGGAGGGGGAGGAGAGGAAAGGAGGAGGTTAGCCTCACTCAGTGCCGCCCTGCCCTGCATTGCCACCCCGTCCGCTTTCATCCTGCCAACAGAAGGGGAGGGAAGGGAGAGAGGCAGTGAGGAGGGGGCAGGGATCGAAGGAGGTTTGCCCTGCATCACTCACTGACGGCCGCCCTGCCCTGCATTGCCACTCTGCCCTCTCTCATCCTGCAGCGTCACCACCAATGGAGGGGGCAGAGGGGCACGGGATCGGGGTGAGGTTTGAGGGGGAGAACGAATGTGGTGGGCAGGGGCAGGCAGAGTGGGAGGAACACGATGAGGTGGTGATGAGACGAGCAGATAAGGAGCGGATGTGAGTGGGAGCAGCAAGGAAGGAGGCAACCATGATGCTGATGATGATAATGCTGATGCTGATGCTGATGCTGATGCTGATGCTGATGCTGATGCTGTTGCTGCTGCTGATGCTGATGCTGATGCAGTGATGCTGATGCCGATGCTGATGCTGATGCTGATGCTGATGCTGATGCTGATGCACTGATGCTGATGCTGATGCTGATGCTGATGCTGATGCTGATGCTGATCCTGATGCTGATGCTGATGCTGATGCTGATGCTGATGCTGATGCTGATGCTGATGCTCTGATGCTGATGCTGATGCTGATGCTGATGCTGATGCTGATGCTGATGCTGATGCTCTGATGCTGATGCTGATGCTGATGCTGATGCTGATGCTGATGCAGTGATGCTGATGCTGATGCTGATGCTGATGCTGATGCTGATGCTGATGCTGATGCTGATGCAGTGATGCAGTGATGCAGTGATGCTGATGCTGATGCTGATGCTGATGCTGATGCTGATGCTGTGCTGATGCTGATGCTGATGCTGATGCTGTGCTGTTGCTGATGCTGATGCTGATGCTGATGCTGATGCTGATGCTGATGCTGATGCTGATGCTGATGCTGATGCTGATGCTGATGCTGATGCTGATGCTGATGCTGATGCTGATGCTGATGCTGATGCTGATGCTGATGCAGTGATGCTGATGCAGTGATGCTGATGCTGATGCTGATGCTGATGCTGATGCTGATGCAGTGATGCTGATGCTGATGCTGATGCTGATGCTGATGCTGATGCTGATGCTGATGCTGATGCTGATGCTGTGCTGATGCTGATGCTGATGCTGATGCTGATGCTGATGCTGATGCTGATGCTGATGCTGATGCTGTGCTGATGCTGATGCTGATGCTGATGCTGATGCTGATGCTGATGCTGATGCAGTGATGCTGATGCTGATGCTGATGCTGATGCTGATGCTGATGCAGTGATACAGTGATGCAGTGATGCTGATGCTGATGCTGATGCTGATGCTGATGCTGATGCTGATGCTGATGCTGCATTGCCAGGTGTGACTTCAACAGAACGTGGAACCCCGCTCATCGTCCTAACTATCACTCACCTCTTCCGAACCTCCAGGTCTCACCTCTTCCGAACCTCCAGGTCCAGCTCTCTGCTCCACCCATACAGCTTCGCGTCCAGCAGGTCCGACCGTGCCTCTGACAGCCTGGGGTGCACGGGATGGGGAGGTTCGGCAGGAGGCATGGGGCCGAGCACAGGGCAGCAGGGAGGAGCATGCAGAGGAGAAGGGTGAAGGGCACGCATGGCAGTGAGAAGGCCACGCATGGCAGTGAGAAGGGCACGCATGGCAGTGAGAAGGGCACGCATGGCAGTGAGAAGGGCACGCATGGCAGTGAGAAGGGCACGCATGGCAGTGAGAAGGGCACGCATGGCAGTGAGAAGGGCACGCATGGCAGTGAGAAGGGCACGCATGGCAGTGAGAAGGGCACGCATGGCAGTGAGAAGGGCACGCATGGCAGTGAGAAGGGCACGCATGGCAGTGAGAAGGGCACGCATGGCAGTGAGAAGGGCACGCATGGCAGTGAGAAGGGCACGCATGGCAGTGAGAAGGGCACGCATGGCAGTGAGAAGGGCACGCATGGCAGTGAGAAGGGCACGCATGGCAGTGAGAAGGGCACGCATGGCAGTGAGAAGGGCACGCATGGCAGTGAGAAGGGCACGCATGGCAGTGAGAAGGGCACGCATGGCAGTGAGAAGGGCACGCATGGCAGTGAGAAGGCCAAGGACATGGGAAAGAGAGAGTGTCGCAGTAGGTGACGGTGGGAGACGGCAAGCTGCTGATGGGCTATGAAACGTCTCTAAAGCTGGGCTTTAAGATGTACTTGGGCTTTGAGAAGGCTCAGAACTCACCTTTGCAGGCGGATGAGCGGGTTGGGTACGTCCTCCAGAGGCTTGCTGCTGATGGGCTTTAAGACGTCTCGGGGCTTGGGCCTTTTCGAGACGAGTCAAAGCCTGGGCCTTGAGACGTGCCAAAGCGTTGGATTTTGAAGCCTCAGAAAGAACTGACCTCTGCAGGCGGATGAGCAGGTTGGCACGCCAGTTGGGTACGTCCTCCAGAGGCAGGCTGCTCACTGGCTTTAAGACGTGTCAGAAGTTGGGCTTTAAGACGTACTTGGGCTTTGAGAAGGCTCAAGACTCACCTCCGGAGGCGGATGAGTGGGTTGGCGCGCCAGTTGGGTACGTCCTCCAAGGGCAGGCTGCTGATGGGCTTTAAGACGCGTCACAGCTTGGACTCTCACAGCTTACCTCTGCAGGCGGATGAGCGGGTTGGCG